TTTACAAGAACTGAGGAGAGCTGTTGATGGCGGCACTTCGGAGATTGCTCATCCATAGGGTTGCCATAGGGCAGAGGTAGCTGGATGACACATAAAAACATTATATTTTTGCTTCCATGATATTCTGAAAGCATTTCAAACCCCTGTTTTTAATGTTCTCTTTCTCTCCCACCCATGATTGGTGAGGATTAAAAACAATTTTGAAAACATTTATAAAAACACTTGAAGATATATTGAGTGTGTCATGTATCATCAAGTCAATTCCGACTGAAGGCAACCCTAGCAGGCTTTCTGGGGTGTGTGAGATATTTAAGGAATAGTTTTACCAGTGCCACCCATGTATCCCACACATGCCAGTGAGATCCATAGTCAAACAGGAACATGAATCTAGGTCTCTTGAGTCCCAGGCTGACACACTATCCATTACACTACAGTAGCTTTCTAATAGCTGAAATCATGTTGTTTGCATACTAGAGCAGACCCACTGAATCAATGGAGATTACAAAGCAAGCTGACTCACCAAACCCCCACTGATTCAATGATTTCAGCCATTGAGTACATTTGCATTATTCTGAAAGTCATATTTCAGTGTTTGCAGAAGTAGATTATTAAAAATTATTTTTTGGCAAGATTGAGGATAGTAAGACAACAAAATGTATAGACAAGCAAGAGAAAAATTTTCAAATGTGCCTTTGCAATCAAACAGTGGCACATAAAAATACTCTGGAAAGAATTTGTGTCTTTGTATTTAATTGAGTTCCCAGTCAATTGTCTCCAGGCGGGTAGCTGTTTGATATTTTTGCCTCTTATTTTCTGTTTAATTCTTACTAGATTTGTTGGCAATCATGGGCAAGTTGAAAATCATGTTTGAAGTTTTGTGACAACTTGGGTGAGAGGGACACACACAAAGTACATATGAAAGGCGATCCATGCATCATCCATAATTCTTCCTTTGTATGTTGTGCCCTTGGCTGCTGAGATAAGGCATTATCAATCCCTCAGTCATAGCTCCCAACTCTTTTTGCTTGATGCCTGTATGCATCTGTGGGCTGTGCTCCAGGCCATGCTTTCATGTTTCCAGCTGAGATAAGCACTTCCCATATGCTCTGAATTTCACTTGTCGCTACTTAAAGTTTCATGCTGATCTAGCTCTCTTTCAAGGTTTACTCACAGGGGGGTTCTTGGTATTTTCTCTGATTACAATGCCGATTGCCGCTAGAGAGGAATGTCACAAGGAGGTCTCTGTCCAACACATCTCCTTTCAGTTTTATCACTGTATAGGGCTTGCTGTCAGCTGCTCTCAATAGGAATGTGAGCCATTCATAAAGGATCACCCATTTTCAGGAGAATCTGGCTCAGGTAATTGTTCAGGAAGGTAACAAACGACATACATAAACACCATCCCTTGGTTCTACTGCAGGGTTGTCTCTTCCACAGACTCCTGCCATTACTTCATCACACCCATCTAATCTGTTTTATCCTCAGGCTGGAATTTTTCAGAAATTCCCTGGGAAGTCCAAAAAATGGAAGCTTTGGAAGATTCCTGCTACTTAACACCCCCGGTAAAGTTTGCAGTCTCTCCAGAAATACCTAGAGATAAAAAAAAAATCCAACCCTACATGATCAAATCCAAGCCTACACTACCAAAATGGTGTGTTGGATCAGGCCTAAGATGCTGTTAGTTCAGCACTGACATCTGCAAGTGACCAATTAGATGCCCAGGAAAGCTATGGTGGAGAGTATAAGTAGTATAGCCTTCCTGTTCTATCTGCTTCCTGCATGTTTAGACTCCATGTATCACAGGCATGGCTGAAGGACTGCCATTTTACCTCCCCCAAAATTAATTTTGACTGGGTGTGATCCAGAGAATCATAGAACCATAGAGTTGGAAGGGGGCCTACTAGGCCATCGAGTCCAACCCTGTGCCTAATGCAGGGATCCAAATCAAAGAACATCCAACAGATGGCCGTCCAACACATTCTCTTTTTCAGGACCTGCAAGTAATAGGGGTCTGATGCACTACCTGTAATTTCAAGGATGGCAATTCACAGACAGAGCAAAGAGCCAGGATTGACGGTGTGATCCAGAGAATCATAGAACCATAGAGTTGGAAGGGGGCCTACTAGGCCATCGAGTCCAACCCTGTGCCTAATGCAGGGATCCAAATCAAAGAACATCCAACAGATGGCCGTCCAACACATTCTCTTTTTCAGGACCTGCAAGTAATAGGGGTCTGATGCACTACCTGTAATTTCAAGGATGGCAATTCACAGACAGAGCAAAGAGCCAGGATTAATATAACAAGGTCATCAACTTGCATGCTTTGCAAATGCCATTTCTGGTCATACTACACATTGCAATATTTTACCAATTATTTCAATACATTTTCAATTCTCTCCCATTGCTTGACTGTCATCCATGAAGAAATTCTTCTGCAAGGCAGTGTTAATGTACCATCTCCTTGCTCTCAGGTCTGGCTGGAGAGCCAGCTAATTGTTTTGCATTAACTTTTAGTAAACTGCTGTTCAAACCTCAATTTTAAAATGCAATGTACAGTACATTTCCAAGACTACTTTCACTCCCCCTTAACTATCTTAACACGCTAATAAAAGTAAAAATTATGTCCTGCCAAGTCTATTCTGACTTACGGCATTCCTTTTCATGGTTCTCTAGGAACAGAATACTCAGAAGTGGTTGACCAAGCACTCCTTTTCATGGTTCTCTAGGAACAGAATGCTCAGAAGTGGTTGACCATTCCCTTCTTCTGGGGGCGTCCTGGGACTTTGTAGCTTGCCCAAGGCCACCCAGGCTGGCTCCACTCCTAAGAGGCCCAGTGGGGAATTAAACTCCAAACTTCTGGCTCTGCAGCCAGATACCTAAACCCCTGAGTTATCCAGCCAGTTTTTTTAACACTCGACACACACACAAAATTTCACATCTTGACACCTTGTGCTCTCAGAAGGAGAAATGCCTCAACCCAAGATTTCAGAGCAATTAAAAAAATTGGAATTAGATGAATCTCATTTCTTAAAACAAGGTCTTAAATACTGGGACACTGGTCTTATCATGTGTAATGATTTCTTACACATTCTTCTGCTGTACTGGATGCACATATTTGAAATTCGCCTGGCGCCGACACTGATGATATTTCGGCGCCAGGTCAAAACCTTCCTGTTCCAGAAGGCTTTTAATTGAAATAACATTAACTGTGGGTCTTAATGATGGCAATTTTAATTGTATTTTAATTGTATTTTAATTGTATTTTAATCATTTTATTTTATTCCATTGAATTTTAATTGTTGTAAGCCGCCCAGAGACCTTTGGGTAGAGTGGCACTGGATGCACGTATTTGATAAAGACTGGCACGTTCTCTGATTCAAATCTAGCTGTATCCCCTTTAAAAGTTATCCTATTATTTTTCTCACACTCTGTTAGACAAGCTGAGGCAGAAAGACTTTGCTAATGTAGGAGGAATCTAGGTGGGGTTTCTGAAGAATCACCAGCCTATGGAAAGCCTTTAAAGCTAGGCTTTCAACAGCACTTACAAGGGAAAGCTGTTAATTATCTTGGCAAGAGCTGGCCTGAAGGGGCTTAGAAGGACGACTTGGATAAATGGGGAGAAGATAGTTGTTATGTGTTTTTCGGGCTCTTTGGCTGTGTTCTGAAGGTTCCTCCTGATGTTTTGCCAGTCTCTGTGGCCGGCATCTTCAGAGGACTGGAGTAGGACCTCTGTCCATGCGCTGTTGCTGTTTGTTGGATAGTTATTTATAGCTGTTACAGTGGTGCCTCACATAGCGATCGCTCCGTATAGCAATGAAATCGCTTTGCGATGGACTTTTTGCCATTGCAAGAGTGGTCGCCCCTATGAGGAAATTTCACTTTGCGATGATCGCAGGGAAGCGATCATCACAAAGCCCCCATTTTCGGCCAGCTGATCGGCGGTTCCAAAATGGCCACCGGGTAAACAAAATGGCCGCCCGCTGTTTTGCCTCGCTTTAGAGGCACCAAAAATGGCCACCGCAATTGAGGACTTTCGCATAGGGTTAGTTTTTAAGCCCATTGGAACACATTTAACGTGTTTTAATGCGTTTCTATGGGCTTTTTAAAATCGCTTAGCGATGAAATCGCTTAGCAGTGATTTTTGCTGCATTGATTAACATCGCTAAGCGAGGCACCACTGTATTTATAGTATTTATAGTTGAGTATTTATAGCAAACAGAGCATGGACAGAGACTGGCGAAACGTCAGGAAAAACAACCTTCAGAACACAGCCAAAGAGACTTAAAAAACCACAACAACCATGAGATCCTGGCTGTGAAAGCCTTCGGGAATACAAGGGAGAAGATACTTTAGAAGTTTAGCACACAGCAGGGGAGATATCAAATTAGGATTTCTCACATCTAAACATGATGTGGAGATCATCCATTTTAGCTAATCTCTGTGTTGTTTTTAAGGAGTGTTTCCCAATCTGGCACCCACCCAAAGACTTGTACTATAGGTCTCATCATCCCCAACAGCACCCTGTATAGGATGGGAGTGGTATTCTTGCCTCTCTGAGTGACAGGAGGGTCCTGTGCTAGCAGGCGATTAGTGGCCCTCAGAAATGGCTGAACGACACCTACCAGGACCCTCACCATGGGATCTACTGGCTAAGCCTGGTAGGGCTGCTAAAACCTGACTGAGAATGGAACGCCTCAGGTAACAGCTGCGCTCGTGAGTGACAGTAAACTGATGAATGTGTTGAAACTCATTCATATTGAATGTTGTGTCTGGCCTTGCAGAACTTGACTAGCCCATGACTGTTTTATTTTATTTGATGCTTTCCAGGCAGATCTAAGGGAAATGGCCTCCAATTTTCCACTGCCCTTATACAGCACAACCAGTACAATTTACCCACTTGCGTTCACTGACACCAAGCACTACAATGTTTATACATTCCCTTCTTGTTTTACAGCTTCTGGTTTTCCCTGATTTATATATCTCACCTTCTATATTCCAATTGCATGTGTTGTGCAGCATCGGACTTTCCTTTCACCTCCGTGCGTGTCAGCCACTTTCAGCTTTAATCTAGTCACATTATTAAGAACGGTGTTATTTGTACTTGTTCTTTGCTCTGCTTATATTGTGTTAAACTTGGAAGCTGCCTATACATTAGGACCCCCTTATCTACAGGATCAGTATCCTCTGATTCACTTATCCACGATCTGAAAATATTAAAATATTTAAAGAAAATATTTCTATACACCAGAACTGGCTATTAGAGGGAGCCTGAAACCGTGTTAGTATTTGTTATTAGTGTTGGCTATAATCTTCATTTTTCAGCATCCACGGGGGTGAGGTTTGGAATTAATCCCCTGTGGATACAGAGGTCCTACATTTTGGTTTGACTCAATGGCTAAACCTTCATTGGGGTGACTGCACAAGACTTCTAAGTTAATTCCCTCTCTTGAAGGTGAAGAAAAGAAAAGTTTCCTTTGTAATTATGCATTTTATTTTTCTATGGCTTTACAATCATTGAATGACTCACATATACACACCCAAACATTAAAATTATTACAATATATATGAAATAAAAACCATATACTAATGTGCTACGATTCTGTCTCTTCATTATATTTATGCATGTTATACACAGGGCAATGTTAATGTAGGGAGGGCTGCAGGAAAAGAAAAGGTGTTAATTCACTTTGTTTTCAAATATAGTGAGAAAAGGAATTTGAAACCTCTGCATTGCTTAGGTAACCCCGGGTTCAAGTTTACAGACAGGTCTTGTCGTTCTGTTTCTTTGCCTCCTTAGCTTCTCTCCCTATTTTCTACAATAGTTTCTCAGATAACCAGAGATAAACAACCAAATAGGGGGTGTGCTTCAGTCCTGTGCACCTTTATTGCCCTCTTGTCAATTAAGAAACGTCTGAACTACACACTTCAACACATTTTCAGCGCTGTTCCATGGACACTAATGCCGGTTGGAGATCTGGCTGCATGTACAGCCTTCCAACACTCATATACAGTAGCTTCAACACTGTGCTAGACGCCATCAAGCAGGGTTGGCATTCTTTAAACATGTAGGGTTGGCATTCCCTATGAACTCTGATGCCCACCAACTGGAAAAGGGCAGAACAGCGTCTCCGGGAAAGAGTGTAGAAGAAGGTTCCCTCTGTGCTCACATACACAGGCCAGGGAATTGTTTTCAGAACCACAGTTGGGTTCACCTTTTTTTATTCACACAACTACTCCTGCACGAATTCTTGTCTGCGTGAGCCAATTGTTGCTATGGTTGAGTCATAGGTAGAATTACTTAGTCATCTACTGCCAATCACCCAGACATCTACCGGATCTCCACTGAGCCCAATCTGTTATCTTCTGCCCAACCCCAACTCCCCACTTCGCACAAAGAACAGGTGCAATGTGACATTTGCTTAGAAGGCTTGCTATTTCCATCAGGCAAGACTAGGGCTGAGGTGGGGAAGAGCCACCAAAAACGGATAATGTAAGTCACAGAGAGGAAACAGGTTGCTGGCGCGGGTGGTTGGCAGTTAGGAAGTACGTACGGCTAAGAGAGCTTCTCAATAGAGCAGCTTGGTTTGAAATCTTTCCTATCCCTTAATAGCAAATAGAATAAAAAGGTGCTGCTGCCGTTGCACGGGTCTTTTTCCTGCTTCTATAAAAAACCCACACCCTACACCAACACTCCCACCGCCAGGTGGGTTAAACCGTATTGCAGGTCCTCAGCAACTCCACTGCAAACATCAAAACCCCTTCTCCCATATTGAATGGCCTCAATACTGGCTTCGCAACCTTGCCCAGAGAGTTCTGTTACGAAGCCAGACCGTCGGGATTTTGCCGACCCCAAATTACTCGGTTATGGGAACGTGGTTTCATCTCACCAAGAGGCATTCCAGCCCTTGGGCCTGGGCCCAGGGCTCATTCGTGAAGCAACGAAGAGGTAGCCAAAGGCAAAGGGCATGTGCAGAGTACATGTCTCTTCTTTACCACGTCATCGCAGCTTGCTGCGTCGAAGAAGGTCTGAGGCCTGGTGCCTCTTCGAAAAATTACAATGAACGTCAGGGTCCATAATCGGTGGAATTCTCCCTATTGACTGGAGGAGCGTTCTTAAATCCAGAGTCAAAGGCCCGGCTGCTGCTTCAGCCCCACCTCCCCAAATCCAGGGGCCTCCGTGTGGTCGGCTGAGCGGGAGATTTGTTTGGTTCCTTCGGCAGAAGCTCCCAAGGCTTGCCACTGGGAAGAGCTCCGGGCTGACTTGCTGGTGTGTTCGGAGAATGATCAGCAATATCTGGAAGGGTCTGATGCTCATTAGCTGTGGGGAGGGGAAAAAAAAAAGGAAGGATGTATTAAGGGTCGAAGTCACAGCAAGGGGAGCTGCTTGTGTTTATGTGCCCAATTTTACTACATGGCATGAAATGGTCGACTAGACGAAGCGACTATGAAACTGAAAGTACAACTGGAATAGGAAGGGGAAAAAGAAGTTGCTCAGCAGAGGGACTTAGCAGTAGAAACCTTGTGGTGCAGTGGTTAAACTGCAGTACAGTGGTGTCTCGCTTAATAATGATAATCCGTTCCAGGAAAATCGCCGTTAAGTAAAAACATCGTAAAGCGAAATAAAACCCATTGAAACGCATCGAAACCCGTTCAATGCGTTCCAATGGGGTAAAAACTCACAGTCCAGCGAAGATCCTCCATACAGCGGCCATTTTCGGTGCCTGTATAGCGAGGAATCCGTCCCTAAACACAGCGGGGAGCCATTTTAATTACCTGGTGGCCATTTTGAAACCGCCGGTCAGCTGTTAGAACAATGTCGTTTTGCGAAGAATCAGTTCCCGAAACAGGGAACCGGTCATTGCAAAGCGAAATTCCCCATTTAGACCATTGTTTTGTGATCACAATTGCGATCGCAAAAAGATTGTCGTAAAGCGGATTCATCGTAATGCAGGGCAATTGTAAAGCGAGGCACCACTGTATTGCACCAAACACTCTGCTCATGGCCTGGATTCAATCCCAGGTAGCCAGCTCGAGGTTCACTCAGGCTTCCATCCTTCCAAGTTCAGTAAATTGAGTACCCAGCCTGTGGGGAAAGGGCAGTTTGCAACCTGCATAATTAAAATGTAAGCTGCCCCAGAGAGAGCTTTAAGTGTTATGTGGTGGTATATAAGCTTTGGTTCTCTTCTGCCTTTTCACATGAGAGGTTCCTCCATGGTCTTTCATCCTTTCTAGTTCTAATTCCTAGTCAGTTTGATCCATATCTCCGGGGTAGAACGTGTACTTTGCATGGGGGGGGGCACCCCAGGCCCTATTCCTCAAGTTTTCAATTAGAAAGACAGAACCACTCCCCCACCCTTTTGCGCATGCATGCGAGTGCCCGTGCACCCACATGAGCACCCTCCCGTTCCTTTGTGCATGCGCGCAAGCACGAGGGGGTGCCCTGCCTTCCCCAGCCAAAACAATGGTCTGAATGGGGGAATTTTGCTTTGCGATGATTGGTTCCCTGCTTTGGGAACCAATTCTTCGCAAAATGATGCTTTTTGAACAGCTGATTGGCGGTTTCAAAATGGCCACCGGGTGATTAAAACGGCTCCCCGCTGTGTTTAGGGATGGATTCCTCGCTATACAGGCAGCAAAAATGGCCACCGTATGGAGGATCTTCGCTGGACGGTGAGATTTTACCCCATTGGAATGCATTGAATGAGTTTCAATGCGTTTCAATGGGGTTTTTATTTTCGCTTTACGATGTTTTCGCTTAACGGCGATTTTCCTGGAACAGATTATCGTCATTAAGCGAGACACCACTGTACAAATTTTAACCAAAAACCTAAGTATCTGTTAAATATTGGTGCAGTATGTATGCTGTTCCTAATACTGTCAGGTTTTGTACCTCTGATGGTGTTATTTCTGAGATCTGCAACTGCTTATAATACTGTGTTTCTTGATATTGTTCCCAAAGCCCCGATGACTACAGGGACCACTGAAGTATGTTTCATCCAGAAGAAAGATTTTTTGATTGCCAGGTCTCTGTACTTTGTTAGTTATTATTATCTGTACAGTACTTTTGTTGTTGTATTCAGTGATCCTGCTTTTTCTCTGCAGCTCTTGGAGGAGAAGGATGGCTACCATTACATCAGAAGTAACTGGATGTTCCAGAAACTGCATTTCCCAGGTAAGCAGATAGAAGATGACAGCCATACTCTTCCAAGAATGGAAATCCTAATCTTTCTCTGGCCTGCTGTTATTTGATGATACCTAAGCAAATCTGTGCTATTTCCTATGCCAGGGTACGAGGGTGGAGAATCTGCAGCCTTCCACACATTGCTGGCCTGTCGTTCTCATGAGCCCTGACCAGAACAATGGGGAAGGATGATGGGTGTGGGATAGGACATGATAGTCATCATAAAATATCCCTCCTGTCCCAAAAGGCAAGACTCAAAATCAATGGATTCAAACAGCAAGAAGGTAGATTCAAATAACTATTAAGAGGAAGGTTTCTGGTGATGAGTGCTGTTTGACACTGGAGCAGAAGATGGCAGCTTTCCCTTCATGACAAGTTTCCAAACAGAAGTTGGATAGGCATCTGTCAGATATGCTTTCACTGTGAATTTCCTGCTTCAGCAGGGGTTGGACTGGATGACCCTTTGGGACCCAGTTCTTCAGTTCGATGATTCTTTTCTACGAGTTGCCTTCCAGTGACTCCTTTAGGGCCAAAGGTTCCCGACTCTTCCTGGCTGACACCTCTTGGCCCTTCTATCCCTGGCACAACACGCACTTTGCTTGTGTGAACCCTTTCCCCTTCATTGTTAGTGTCAGCTTCCATTATACATAAAACACCTCAGAGGGAGAACATCAGTAGACTTACCATCTGCAGACTTCTGTGATGCCTTCCTGGAGGAAAAGAGAGGAGAGAGAGGGGGGGAAAGAAAGCAAGAGAGAAAAAGAAAAAGATGGTGTTAGATGGAGAAGTCGCTACTTGTCCACATTTATTTATTTATTTAAAACATTTTAATCCCGCCTTTCTCCTTAAAAAGGACCCAAAGCAGCTCACATCATTGAAAAGGCAATATTTTACAACTAAAACAGTCAGCATACACATCTTTAAAAAGAATGAAATAATTATGATATTAAAAATCAATACTAAAGCACATTTAAAACAACAGAGCACCAGAATCCATTTTAACCCTCTCGGACCACCAGTCATTAAGGAAAACCTGTTGAGAGCTTGGACTCCTAGAGAAGGACAGTAGGTTCAGTGTACAAAACATGTTCTCATGTAGTCTGTATATGGTTATCTGAAAGGTGAAACCACAGAGTTGGCTGGCGGAATGGCAGGTGGGGCCCATTCCATACACACACTCCCACGCAGCACGGGGTGACGCCATGTGCCGCTTGCTTGCCCAGGAGCCCATGTGCTGTTTATCCCTCCGAATTGGGAGTGGCTGGCGACAGTCCAGGCTGAGACACGTGTAATGCAAACATCCCACGGCCCTGGGCGACCTTACCTAATCGCTGGCCCTGTGAGTTGTCATTCACAGGCAAGGCGGCGCCCCCCCGACAGCCTTCCAACGAATTTACGTTCATGTGCTGCATGAACGCGTAATGTCATCCCCATTAAACTAGACAGTCACCACTCTGCTGCTCCTCGTCATGCTCCAGCCATCCCATTCCATGCCCATGTCTTCACCCTAGACAGGCAACTCAGCCCTCTAAGAATGTACTACCTGCTGACATGAGTAATGCTGCTGGTGTTCACCCTAGACAGGCAACTCTAAGAATGTGCTACCTGCTGACATGAGTAATGCTGCTGGTGGCAGAGCTGTCATGAGTTTCCTTCCAACACTTTAGGCTGACCCATGAGGCTTCTTAAACCAAATACTTTTCCAAGAAGGAAGCCTTTGTTTTGTAGTTGCAGCAAAAAAAAAGAAGAAGAAGGGGGGTCATGTGGCAAATTTATCCTAGCAGAGGGGTTCTTGGCCTAGACAGCCCACATTATCGGAGGCATCTGCTCCCAGGACGGGAAACGAGGGGTCCATGAGCTTCATGCAGCTCCCGTGTTTCTTGGCAAAACTTCCCCCCCAAGCTTCCCTCATGACTGAGATCTCTGGAATTCAGCGTCTGCTTGCAAAAGGCCACTTTTCTCTTCCAAAATCAGGCATGCAGGAAGTATAGCCCTTGTTTCGAGTCTAGTCACATTCATAGAAGCCTCGCAGCAAGACCGTCATGCTTCAAACATTTTGACCATAAAAAGGAATGCCGCTTCGGGGATGCTGTCGTGTCATCAAATTAGCAAATTAGAGGAGAGTGTGGTTCTTTGTGGGGCCCAAAATGTGGCCACCAGACTCACAGGGGGAGGGGGAACAGTGCACGTGTTATAATTTGCAGGGATCATGTGGTACTTTAAATATTTTATTTTATTTCAGATTATTTTGTTTATAGATTAAAAGAACCAAATACAGTGGTGCCCCGCATAGCGACGATAATCCGTTCCGGATAAATCGTCGCTATGCAGATTCGTCGTTAAACGGTGCGCTCGTTAAGCGAGGCACCACTGTAGTGGGCTGGTGGCTTCTTTTTTCCTAGGAGGGTCCCCAACACAAATTATAATGGTTGTCCTGTGCTGTCAACACTTTCCCAAGGTTTTTTTTTAAGTTATAAAGTATTCAGAAGTGGTTTGCTCTTCCCTTCTTCTGAGAATGCTCTGGGATTGTACAACTTGCCCAAAGCTACATAGGTTGGTGTTTCTCCCAGGAGGCACAGTGGAGAAATCAGACTTGACCACTAGCTCCCCAGCCAGCTGTTTCAACTCACTGAATTAGCCAGCCAGCAATATCTGGTAGAAATTATGCTAAACTCCCCCCGCCAAGTTTAACATTTGTATCTCACTTTTCCTACATGTATATTGCCTTTCCTCCAATCATTCTCCTTCTCCTCATCATCATCATCATAATCATCATCATCATCATGTGCCATCAAGTCAATTCTGACTTATGGCAACCCTTTTCAGGGTTCTCCAGGTAGAGAGTACTCAGAAGTGGCTTCACATTCCCTTCTTCTGGAGGCAACTGGGGCTGTGCAGCTCACCCAAGGTTACTCAGGTTGGCTCTACATGCAAGAGGCACAGGGGGGAATTGAACTCCCAACGTCTGGCTCTGCAGCCAGATACCTAAACCACTGAGCGATCTAGTCAATAAGAAAAACATTGAATGGCAAATCTTAGCCCTTCCTCTAGCCACATTCAAAGATCAAAGGTCCTCCAAAATGATCATCTGGTTGGTCACTGTGAGGAAGAGGATAGTGGACCCAGCATGCCAGCACTGCACAGCCTCTGGCCCTCCAGAGGTGTGGACAACAATTCCCATAACCACTTTATCATTGGCTTTGCTGGCAAGGGCATCTGGGGATTGAGGTTGGAAACATCAGAAGGGCCAAATATTCTCCCTGTCTGAGATATGCATTTAAGGTAGTCTTTCAGGGCTCCTGTTAGTTCTTAAACTACAGCTAAAGATTCCTCTGCTGTAGGACTATATGCCCAGCAGTTATGTTTGACCCTTACAAGAACAACAAAATAATTTTATGTAGAAATCTGGGAAGAAGTGACGATATCTCACGGAGTACAGAACATGCTCTCAAAACGAGTTAATCTTGAGCGGTGGGGTGTATATTTCCATAATATGATTGATTTACATGCTCCAACCAGCCCCCAATAGATTTCATAAATTGAGGAGAATTATAACTATTTTTTCACAGCATGTACCAGTTGTAGACATGATGGGTTGCTTTGTTGTAACAGAATGTCTTCTCCAAATGTACCTGACTAAGTACATTCTTCCTTGTTTCAGAAAATTGTCCAGGCTTTGCCAGCATTTCATGACTTTATGGATTCTCAGTGTCATGGAGGTGACAAGAGAGGAACATGGCATTCCCTTACTTCTTGGGCATTAAAGCAAAACCAGCAGCCACAACACTACCCTGTAATGCACAGCAGAAGGGGGAAGAGTTTAAGCATTAGATGTCTGCCCAGTGTTGGCAGACTGTGACCCAGAGATGCATACCTTTCCGTTTAGCGATGAAATGGGAAACAAAGCCACCCTACTTTTGCTTGCCACTTTTAAATGTTTGAAAGCCGCAGATTTCTGGGTCTGGAAACACCAGGAACTAGATGAGATGCTAATTCCTTACCAAAGGTACTATTTTAATTGGCTACGATTTGTGGAAACTGTTTGTGTGTGTTTCCTGAATCCTAGTCCGTCATTATATCCGCTACACCACATTGTGCCAAAACTGTAGATTAGCATCATCTGTGCCCTCATGGTAATGTATAAAATATACAAGCAACACTTTTCCTGCAACTAAACCTTGGGGTTTGTTTGCCCTATGAGCTAGCATAACATCACAGCTGAGCTGGCACCAGCTTTTCTTCCCAACTTCCCAGACCGGTTATGTAGCTAATGAGAAGGAGTCTAAGATGGGTTCATGCTTGAAATCTCTTCTCTTGATACATTGGACGCCTCCACCACTGCCAGCTGACGTCCAGGTTTGGGACATCTCTCTCCTGCCAAGTGGATTACATCATTGCTAAGGAAAGATGGCTGCATGGATCACTGTTAGAAGACACGGGTTCAGGATCTGGCACATTCTGAGCCCTGATAAGACTTGTACCTTATAACCTAGATAAGGTTTTAATTGTCTATAGGCAGTGGAAGAAGCAGGATCTGAGGTACCTTCCTTCCCCTTCAGCAGCAGAGTTTGTAAAAGATCTTTCTTGGACTACAACTCCCAGAATCCCCCAAAGCAACAAGGCCAATTGCCTGTCTGTGACCCCCTAAAGGCAGAAATACATTTTGCTCTTTCATGTGAGAGCTAAAGTCTTTCAATCTATAACCTAGGACTTTTTTGTCCTCGGGACACAAGAAATGTAGAATTTATTTTAATACTATTAGAACGGCAGAGCTGGAAGGGACCCTCTGGATTATCAAATCTAGTCTGTTTCAGGGAGGCCCAGTGGGGAATTGAACCCCCCAGTCTCTGGCTCCACAGTCAGATACCTAAAACACTGAGCTATCCAGCATGGTATGTAGGCTTACATAAACTATTTTATATCTCTTTCTGAAAACAAATATTCCAGAATACTTTCCTCCATCAATTTTCCATTAAAAAAACCAAACAAACAAACAAAGCTTCTGGGACAAACAATAACAACAACTAGGAAAACTTTTTTTCCTGAATTTTCCCAATTTTCATCCCCGTGCTTCATGTCTCTAGATTCTGGGAGCTGTGGTGTGCCAAAGAAATGCTCCTAGTTCAAAAAGTTCAGCTTCCTGAAGTTGTCCCACCCAACCACCTTCGGTGCAATAGACCTGTTCCACCAGTGCTGTGAGAGGGCCGAGAACTGAAACAGAAAACATGTAGAGGAGCGGTGGCTGCTGCCTCCCACTCCGTCTAGGAGATTTTAAAGGCACCTCAGGTCTGCCTAGGTTACAAAATGGCTTCCTTAGTCCTTCCTCCCTTACTTGTAGTCCAGCACGGCTGACGTGGGAAGCCTGCTTACACTTTGAGTGAGACCACATACGTACCTCAGCAAGAGAGCAGATCTTTTACACACTGGTGCCCCCCGGGGAAGCTCCCCCCCCCCGATAGTGGAAATTACTACCAAGTAAACGTCCACTGATTGTTGGGCAAAGGAGGGGAGTGTTATTGTACCCTCTCTGTTTTAGTGCAACTGGCAGTTGTTTTAAAAGTCACACGGCTGTTGTTCCTGTTGGAAGTAATACTTCTCATTTCATCTGTGCTTAATTAGCATGTATGAATTATATCAAGCTCTCGTAACCCAGCTTTTGCACAAATTACTTTGTTTATCCTGGTGGTTGCCAGTCCCATTGTATTGGTAT